AGGGTAGGCATTTGAATTGTATAATTACCACTTAATTTTTTTTTTTTTATAATAACGCTCACAATCAACATAGCCCCGCACTAGGGAAACCCTGTGTCGCGGGTGCCATGGACACACAATTAGACAACCACAAATTACACCCAAACTCACGAGAGAAATAAATGTAGGCCATACAAATATTTCTCCCGGCCCGGGAATCGAACCTGGGACCTCTGCGTGGCAGTCCGGCATGGTAACCGTTCGGCCACGGAGGCAGTTAAAAATTAGAAAAGGATTCAGCTTAAATACAAGTTTTTAAAAATAAAAATTATTATTCTGCATTGCTAAATACCCTCCGTACTACAACAAAAACATCTCAAATAAAATGCAGTAATACACCGCAAAATTCTGCACTTAAAAAGCACTAATGAAATTTTTGGTGTACTTGGGTAAATATGATAATATTCCGTTTGAGTGGTTCTAACGTTTACCATGAAATTACTCCTTAAAGTATAGTTTATAAACATTTATGTATATTCAGGGTAAACATAAAAAACGCAACTTAAGGCCCATTTAGATGGAGAGAGTTTCTCGTCTCGAAGATACGATTATCGAAAGAATATAAAAAAACTTTCCTCGTCTAAACATTTGCGATTATCGACCGTCCACGTGAGCGATAATCTCCTCGCCTTTCAATATAACGTCTCCGTGTAAACAGCACTCGAAAGCAAAAATCGTATTTCGAGTTTCTGTGCCAGCCGTTTCTACCACGAGTGCAGCGCGCGAGGGTGTTTTGATTATCACTGCTTTTCTAAGACAAGAATTAATGGAACAAGAGCGAAAAAAAATTTCAAATAACGGTGAGTGAGTGAGTGCCTCTGTGGTCGAATATAGCGTGGGCAATATAGTATTTAGGGTGCTCTCGTAACGAATATGGCACTCCTTTCTAAATCCAGGATGAAACGTCGTGCCCGCACTTTTCAAATAATGGCAAGTTGGGTATCGTTTTTGAGGTATTTGGGGGTGCTCATTACGAACATAGCATTTATTTCTAAATCCAAGATGGCCGACACGACTTTTCAAGTAAATGTACTTTTCAATAAACACTCCTCACTAACTCCCCACTCACTCCCTACTCACTCCCTACTCACTCACTCACTCACTCACTCACTCACCACTCACTCACGCACTCACTCACTCACTCACTCACTCACTCACTCACCCACTCACTCACAACTCACTCACTCACTCACTCACTCACCCACTCACTCACAACTCACTCACTCACTCACTAACCACTCACTCACTCAGCCACTCACTCACTCACCACTCACTGACTCACTCACCCCTCACTCACTCACTCACTCATCACTCACTCACTCACTCACCACTCACTCCACCACTCACTCACTCACCACTCACTAACGCACGCACGCACGCCCGCGCGCACGCACGCACGCACGCACTCACTCACTCAGTCACTCACGCACTCACACACGCACTCACTCGCCCTATAAATTTATCATAATTGTCAGTTTTGTTTGTGTCAGTAGTTATATAATTTAAAAAAAAATGATAAATCAAAATTATATTTCTATACAGTGCAATGAACTTAATATTATCAGCAGTTCCAAATTTGAATGATTTTTGCGTCATTTCATTATATATCCATAGTCAATACCGCAGTAATCACTGAACTCGAATGGCAATTCTCGCAGTCAAAACGGTTCGAACCGATTTGTACGATAATCGTATGAACTTGAAAAAATGTCATACGAGATCGTGTTTAGACAAGTCGAAAACTCGTAAGCAAGAATCTCCTTACTACATATTTCTCCGTGTAAACAGTCGAGGAGGCGATTAAGTTGCTTGCGAATCTCGTATGACATAATCGTAGGCGAGATTTTAGTTCTTGCCTGAATGTAAACATTATGATACTATAATCTTACGGCGATTATTGCTTACGATAATCGCCTACGAGTTTTCGTCACGAAGCGTGCGAGAAACTCTCCCCATCTAAATGGGCCTTTACGGTATGTTTTCAATAAATAAACACCGACATCACCAGCCCAAACAATAACACACACGATTGTCACGACGTATTTACGAGACGGCTAAATATTGCACATGTTGTTATCGCTTGGCCAGTGAGTGTAATATACTGGGCTCCATATTTTTTAATCATGTGATACTTTTAAATGTAATACACATGCACAAACCGTATTGATCATATTTCTCCATCTTAGGTACCTACTTCAAAAAATTGTAGTCTGTTAGGATTTCTGTAATTTCGAGGGTTATGTCAATGCGCAACAAGCACATAGAAAAAATCGTAGGGTCTGATGGTTTGTTCCGTAGCTTACTTGGGAGAGCGCCAGACGAAGCCGCTGGTTAGAATCCAGCCGGATCTAAGGATTTTTTCTCTTTACGTTAATAATTTTATTGTAAAAAGCAAGTGGAGTATTTTCACAAATAAATATTAAATATCGTGGTAGTAACATCGTTACTTGCAATGAACTTAGCATCTAACATTATCCGCCCGTGTGTATCATATCTACGCCGCGACGTTATGTGCAAATTGCCTCTTTATTGGCTCCAGACGGTGTTATGGTTTCATGTGAGAAACTCTATAGCGTTATGGGTATGTTTAAGGTTTCTATTAAATTTCCTTGAGCAAGTTTTACATTATTCACGGCACTTGGTTTTACAATGATTAACACGTTTCAGGGTAATAATAAACAGGTGTATGTTTAGATTGTTTGAGAAAATTTCAAGTCGAGAAAATGTTACTACGTCTTACACAATTGGAGTTCCCCGTTCCTTTACTACAGTACAGTATGAAGTAGGTATAGTATCTAGACAACGTGCAGGCACCATATTTTTTAAAAAAAGAAGCAAGAGAAATATATAATATATAAATTTTATGTTAAAGGTGGACCGATGACTTGGTTACAGCTTCAGAAGAGATATCCAGCAGTGGACGTCTTTCGGTTGAATACGCTCCTTCTACCGCAAAATGGCGGCTATTTGGTTTCGCAAATTAGAAAAGCATTCAGTTTAAATACAAGTTTTTATAAATAAAAATTATTATTCTGCATTGCTAAATAAATACCCTCCGTACTACCAACAAAAACATCTCAAATAAAATGCAGTAATACACTGCAAATCCTGCACTTAAAAAGCACTAATGAAATTTTTGGTGTACTTGGACAAATATGATAATATTCCGTTTGAGTGGTTCTAACGTTTACCATGAAATTACTCCTTAAAGTATAGTTTATAAACATTTATGTTCAGGGTAAATTTAAAAAACGCTACTTACGGTGTGTTTTCAATAAATAAACACCGAAATCACCAGCACAAACAATAACACACTATAACACACAATAACAATAACATTGTCGTGACGTATTTTTGAAGTTGTGTGTTTTTTAAATGACAGACCCAGGCATTAAAAACTTTATGGTTTGATAGAGTAGTTACCGAAATAGCAATTAATATTAGTTCTTTTACCTGTTATAACTTCGATATCCGATAAATCGGTATAAAATCATCACCGGCACCTCTAGGTGTGGTATGCGTCTACGGCTGCATGTATCGCGTGAGCGGATAAGATAGAAAATATTAACCCTATATTATATAGGTTAAACGATAAGATACTAATAAAAAATTAATGTGTGTCTAGGAATACAATACATGCTGGTAAGCGAAGCGCCTGTCCATAGCATGACATTGCAAAGATCTAAGGGGAAATGCCAATGCACCCATCGCCCTGAGGCATAAATTAACAACTCTCATGTGGCACTGGAACGCATTACTGCTCGCATTACTGTTTGGTGTCAGAAATAGGTAAAGTTAATTAAGCAGTAATACCCTTCCTTCTTTTGCAAAGAGCTCTACAGCTACGAAAATAGCTTCTCATCCGAAGCTTTACACGTACGACTCCACTGCGCAATTTTGTTTTGAGGCAGAGGCCGCGTTATAGCACGGTTTTTGATGGAGAAAATACATTTTTACGTTCCACTGTTCCATACTCTAAACTTCACAGCGCCTTGTGTGATACTACAAAGGAGACGATGCGGACCGTCTATCACGTTCAGTTCTTATTTCCTTTCTATTTATGTCACATCTGTCTGAAGTCAGTCTCAAGACAAGAAATAATCCCTTCTGTCACTTTATAGTTTTATCTTAATATGAACGTTATTGTTTTAACGAAATGTTCGAAGATATTAATTAACCTTGTGATGTCATATAATTTAGATTTACTATTTTTACGTGTTGTCTAAAGCTGGTATTTATTAAGTATTTCTTGTATGTTGACTTACATAAAAGTTTAAAAACTGTTTTTATTTCATAAATTTTTCGAGTTTTTAATTAATTTAAGTCATTTGTTTCCTATTTGTGCTTGTTAGTAAAGAGGGAAAGGATTTGTTTTAAATTAAATATTTGTATCTATATTTGTTGCCTGTACTTTTGAGACGAGATAGAAGTAGGTACAATAGCGTAAAACTTACTTGTTTTGACTTCGATCTCACAAATCTAACGTTTAACGCTCTAAAAGTTACTTTTATATTTGATAATTTTTGAAGATTATATATAAATAAATAAACTACAATGTAAATGTGCTAGGTAACTACACCGATACCAGGCATTGGTGTGGCTATGAAAACTAAAGCAACGGGATCAACTCTTGTTAACACTACCTAACCTAAACTACTAAACAAAAGATCGATTGATCAACATGCGATCACCGCCCTGGGTCTAGGTTGATTCAACAGGTCTCCATTGCAATCCAGCGAGGCAATGCTGCCAGTTTAATAAGAACTTATGAGCCAGTCACGATATAGGGCGGGATGTTGATCCCAGTTTTTATATTTCAGTACCTATTGACGAAGCCTAGTGCAAACATTTAGTTCCAAAGTGGTCCTTCTCATACAGCACCCACAGTGCAAACTGCTGGGCCATCGAAGTCCGTTCATTGAATGGATCGTAAATATTGTGACACTGTGATATCGTTTACAAAAACGGCAATACTGCTTCTTTCATTAGGTGATGAAGAATTTCAACAAAGAGATAAGGTACAGTTTCTATTGTCATTTGTAATCTACTGTCAAGGCAATAATGACAAACAATTCGTTTAGAATTATAATATAGTGATTGAGGGTGAACTTGATATAAAAAAGAGAAATAAAACGCCCATGTCAACTACTGTCATCGTCGTCTAGATCATTCTCGTCGTAATCTTCGTCGTCATTAGCAAAAATCCTATTTTGCTGGTGACTCCATCTATGTCCTCGTACTGTAGCGTGAATCCAGGAACTGATATCATTCGCCGCTACCTTAGTTGCAAATGACGGCCCGGAGTCCAATTCACAGTCTTCAGGTTTGTATGAAGATATCACAGCCCAGAGTATGTTGTTAAGGACTACTGGAGCCCCGATATCTCTCTGAAATTGAAATTAGGGTATAGATTTTAAGACTATGGATGATGATATACATCATATGGATGATGATATATGTAGAATAATTAGTAGGGATATCGTGGTTAGAAACCAGCAAATCGTGATAATCGTTTCACTAATTTAAGGATCTCTGAATCTATTAATATCAAAAACAATTTTCAAAGTGATTATCGAGTTTTTGCCATTATTACACATTGGATATGTAAGAACTTTTTTGTTTATCTAAATCGCGTTTATTTATTTTTTCAAACAAACTAACATTTCAGGCCCCTTGCAGGTCCCATCATCACGACTGACACTGAAAAAACGAATATATGCAATTTTATTCCAAAAATTTGGATTTGTTTTCAATGTGTTGTTTGCGGACTCCCTTAGATGGCCCGATTTGTGCATTGACAGATCAAATGCCTCATTCATGCAATAGTTAGACTGCTAATAGGCCAAATCACTAAACGCTTTAGTCATATTTCGCTCGAACCGCATAATATGTGACTAAAGAATGTCCTGTGCTTTGAAGTCCACGACGTAACAGAATTCCAAATTTTGTTATAGGCACAAAAAGCGAAAGTACACTCATGGAAACAAGAAATCCACGAAAGAAGAATGACTTCAATTGTTTTTTATTTCGGTAAAAACGTTCTGGTTCTTTTTTTATGACAGGTACCAAGTGATAGGATGAACAAGTCGTGCACCTGATGGTAAGCGATACGGCTGTCATACAAAGATTTGAAGTACGCCACTGCATCCGTCGCCCAGAGACATAAGTTGAAAAGTCCCGAGTGCCTCTAATTTCAGCAGTTACTTTTCAAACCTTACTTTTCCTTACTTTTCAAAATCGTGATGCCAAATTCTGCCGCCAAGCAGTAATGCTCACATTACTGCTTGGCGGTAGTTGGGCAGTATTTCTCTGGACGAAATCTTTTACAAAGAGATCTACTGCTACTAAACTGCTACTGGTATATGTGGTAAGTGATTTATATGTACATTAGTATCATTCAATATTTTTTAGCTTTTCTCTAAATGTGATTTACCGAGAAGATTATTTAAATGCCAATCATGGATTTTTTTTGCATAATTATAGTTTAAGTTTTTTGAAATTTCTTTTTCACGAGAACAATTATGGCTTTAAATAAATCTCTTTTCCTAAAACCTACCCATAGCACTTAGAACAATGGCGCTGGAAATCTGTTCAAACACAAAACTTCACAAATAGTAATCTCACATAAAAGCTTCTTACAAGAATATTATGTATTGTGTTTTATGAATATTTCAATAAATAATAAAGCCCAAAAGACTTTGATGTTAAGCCATTACTTACCGTACAAGGCTCGGTTCCTATCGCTGGATCTAAACACATCAACGTTTCTGTATTATTAATGTCCAGTCCTTCCATCTCTTCAGTACATCGTTCAGAATCTGACGGATGCAAATGTGCCACTGACAGTATCCGACGGCGGTTGATTACTTCCATTGAACGTAGCTGCTGCAACTCCTCGGAGTTCTTCTCTCGATTCAGCTTTAATTTGGGAAAAAAAATTCTATCGTGATCTATGAGACGTTGTGGATTGTGGCGAGAAGTCGCCTCCTGTTAATAGACAAATATTATTATGCACCGTTCGAGTACTCGTAATCTACCGATGTTCATTGAGCGGTTGGATTTTGTCGCTTATTTCGCGAGGTATAAGGATGCACACATTCGCACAAACTCGTGGCGCACTCGTGTTATATAACGTCAGTTAAATTGAAGCATTCTCTCGGTGTTTTAAAAATGACATCAAATAGTAAACGTGTTTAAGATTCTTTGAACAAGAGTGCCTCGGATTCAGAATTGTTCACCATTTCATTTCTACTTCATAATCATACTCTCATAATAGAGATACTAATCCGCGATGTTAGTGTAAAAAAAAGATAGTGTAAAAGTATCAGAACGTAAGTAATGCGTTTAACAAAGGTTATTTCATTTTTATGAATTATGTTCACAGCCTGTAAGTGCAATTAAAGTATAGTAAAAATATTAGTGATAGTGCCTAGAAAGATTCAATATATAAAGTTTAGTGATTTCAATACATGAATTTTGTCAGTACGTTGTTCATCTGGAGAAGCAGTAAGCAGCAACTACACAGAAAGCGTTGGAAATCATATTGTAAAGCCCGTATAGCGAAATTAAAAAAAAGAAAAGAGTATTAAAAATACTAACAAAATGAATCGAATAGATGAACTGAATTAACGATTATAAGTGTTCGATCTTTGTATTAATAATTATAATAAACTAGTGGAGTAATTTCACAAAACAATAAAACACTGAATTACAGTGAATAGCGCTGACTAATAATCTCTAGCCAGGGCTGGAACCTATATAGGTGCCTAATTGGGTGACGAAATACTATCATAGATTTCTCATAGATGGCGCAACGGTTAAAAAGTTGTTAACAACGATTATATTTTAATATTAAAAAATAATTTAAACCATTAGCACTTACCGCAGGGCTAGGCCAAGCCGTCACAATAAAATGGGATGCAGTAACTGGTCTGATTTTCCTTTGCAGTCTGATAGGATTCAAATTGTTATTTAACTGAACTGGTCTAGGCAACTTGACCAATGCTAGGTCATATTCTGGTTTGGTATCCTCAAAATATGGGTGAATTTCGAAGAATTTTATTGGTAGAAGTGTACCTCCTTTCTTGAAGTTAATGCTTCCTAACCGTACTCTGATTTCTCGAATGGATTCTCGTAATCTGTGGACAAAAATTAGAATTTTAAGTATAAAATATCTGAGTCGTAATTAAACCAATAACCTGATCTGAAACTTGGGAATATCCTATCTTTAATTGCTGAACCCAATCCAAAACCTATGTAGAAAGTTGTCTAAATTGTTTTAACTGTGAATTTGACACAGGATCTCTTCTTGTACCCAAAGTGCAAAAACTGCTTCACTATAGAGATCAAGGCAATGTCAATGTTAAGTAATTAACCAATCATGAGCCACTAACTAGTCACCTGATTGGTTAACTTCTAAATATTTAATGCTGTTTCTGCGATAAAAGTAATAAAAACAGTGATAAACGTTTATTATAAATGATATAAAACGAAACAAGGTAGCGAATTGCGGCAAAAGTTGAACATTATGCAATCGTTTTTATGAGACCAAAGAAGGTATTCTCTTAATATTATACAGTCACGTGCGACAATATTATGTAATTATAACGAAATTAAAACTTAGTTTGTTTTTTATTATAGTATGATTATTAAATAACGAGGCGATAATTTCGTTTGCCTGGTGGTAAGCGACACGCCTGTCTATAATAGTTGCTATGCCAGTTAAAGTTTTAAATCGCAAAGATCAGAGGAGTACTGCCATTGCGCCCGGTCACTCTATAACATAAAGTTGATAAGTCTCATATACCTGCAGTATTTCTACAGCTAAGTAGTAATATGCGCATTGCCGCATCCCGGTTTTGATGGGTAAAGGCAGTGTCCATCAGCTCTTTGCGATTTAAAGTTCTGAGTGGCACGGCAACTGTTAGAGGTAGACGTGTCATTTATCACCAGTTACTTGTTTTATATAGTACCACTCACAAATATAATGCATCTGCAGCTGTCAACACCCAACTATCATCAATTAAGGCTCCAGCACTGATATAAGAAGATTTCTTTAATATAGCTACTACGTATGGGAAGACACCGTTTTCAGTCACCATTGTATGATCACTTAACTCGTTGTAAGAGTAATTTGTTGGGGCATGATATTTACAGTAAATCTTGGGAATAAATACTAAAGTAATTAATATAAATTTCGGACTCATTTCTTAGAGCACTTCATATCAAACTGAAAGGCTTGTTAAAGGTAACAAGGCTTGTAAATATTGATGATGTTTTGTAAACAAACAAAGAGGTAATGTACGCAACAATAGGAAATAATTTGATTAAGAACTCTAAACATTTACTTAGGAAAAGATTATGGGTTTGGTACAGTGAAATACCTTTGAAATGTTGGTTATGCCAAGATTGGACTCTCATTAATAATAAATTAAGTTAATATTTACAAAATAAGGCACAAAATCGTAAACCATTCAGGTATGGGAAATCCAGCAAAACAAAAGACGGATCGGTTGATTCTTGTGTAAAGTATTAGAATGACAAGCTATCTAAGTGTTCTGTTATAATATCTCCCTATGGTAATTTATTCTGTAGTATAGCAATTGGTCACCGATGGCTTTAACTAGACCAAAGGGTGAACAGTGCTTTCAGGTAGGCACCCACTGGGCTTAGGATGCATCTGGACACTTCTACCTTAAGAGCGTGCTATAAAACAGAATATCGACACACGCGTTGACACTTAACAATATGGGTGCAGAATCCTGTTCAATCTTGGTCCTGAGGTAGATCCTGGGTATCAAAGAAGTTATCTGATTCTCCTGTATATATAATTGTTGTACAATTTTTGTGTAGTAGTAAAGTTCTTCGAGGCCAAAATAAATCATTTGGAACTATATTTATGTCACTACTGGATTCAGGGTATTTTCAAAGGGCTGTGAACTTTTTTGGATATGCAGATATTATCGCAATGTTTCTCTTAGTATTACCGAGATTCTAAAAATTTATTACTAATTATTTGGAATACAGAAGTTTTTTTATGATACCAAATGACGGCACAAACAAGTCGTGCGCCATGTTGTATGCAACACGCCAAATCGTAACTACAAATGTGCTTTCCACAGCCTCAAATCGCACAGATCTGAAGAGCACTAACACAAAATTCCTGAGACGTAAAGTAGGCAAGTCCCATGTGCCTGTAGTTTCACCAACACCTTACACTTCAAAACCAAAACAAAATGATGCTTATTTATATTTAGCGGCAACAACTGGTAGGGTGGCTGTACTTCCCTGTTGAACTCTTTCACGAGCAGCTCTACTGCTACTAGAATGACTTTAGGATCAATAAGAAATCCAGAGTATGTTACGGAAAAGGGAAAAACATCTCCTTTACTGACGATTTCTATTAAACCTCCTATGTATTAATTCACCTCCTCCATTATTGAAAATAAATGAAAAACTTCTGAAAGGTCCAGGCGCAACAATCACCGACAATACATGTTCAAATACAGACAATTTACAAGCGGTTATGTTTATGTTATGAAACGTTTTTCAGCTACCACAAACAATTGTGTGAAATTTACAACAATCGTCGTCATTGGCCTGTTTTATTATTTTTGGATTATGACTTCAATTTACTACATTCTGAAATTATTAGATTTGAAAGGTACCCTCCGTACTACCTTATGAAAAGCTGTAATTTTAAATACTCACCGAATTATCAGAAAGTTCATGCTGATAAAAGAAGACTAAATAGGACTAGGTTTACCTATCCTTTTTTTACCCGGGGGAATCTATATACAGATGTCTCGGCCATGCGGGTACAGGGCAGAAAGTGGGACTGGGCTGAACCTTGAAGGGGAGCAGCCCGACCGCACTAAACTCCATGGGTGTTCCACTTTCCGCCGGTGCATGAGAGGTCGTGACATGGCAATAACGTTTCATAGCCCTTCGGCGATCGTCCATCCTTTGACCCTCCGATGTTCTGATGGGGGAGCAAGATGTTAGAGCCCTCCTTCCTCAACTCCGCATTGGGTCACCCCTGGAACACTTCGAGGGTGCACACCAACCAGGGTACTCTCAACATGGGCGGCAAAATTCCCGTCCACCGACTGAGAGGTCTCCATTAGGTTCACCTATCACAACACACTCCCAACATAGATACACATCATACTGCATTTATTTTATTTAGACATTTTTGGAGTTAAAAAAACCAACTGGCTGAGCAAGACAATTAACAATTACAACAATTACCTGGTCACAATCTACGGAGTTCCCTGAATCATTGGTACTAGTGCAACGGAATTCATTCCAGAGTTTAAAAAGCTCATTTCCCAAATTTATCCTACTGGGAATCGAATTCGACTTCATTATCTAACGCCCACAGGGCAAAATGTTGGGCCACAGAGGTTGTCAATATTACGGATGTACGTAACTATGTTGGAAACTAACCATAAAGGAAACGTTGAAGGGAAATACCTTCAACACCTTCACACATTTTACAGTAATTAGTTCATGTAAAAGATGGAATGATTGAAGATGAACGCGACCACCCCTTGTGAAAATGAATTCACAAGGGGTGGTCGCGTTCGGTTGTTCACTTTCCAAGTAACTTTCACACAAAGCTCGTCTTTTGAATGCGCGTTAGTTTATAAATTATTTTCATATGGCTACCCTGCCAACGATCATCATGTCATGGGAGAAACCACAATTGAGACTAGTTAATCCCGCCTGGGAATCTAATTGCTGTGGTTATTTGTTTGTGGTGAACCCGAACCTTTGCATGGCATACCAACATGGGAATCGTTCAGCCACGGAGGTAGTTAATTCCATAGTTTTTACAAATTTCGATGTTAAAAATCTTTTTTAAACGAAAAAGAGGCAACTCCACATGATATTATTATATATAATATTTATTGTATTATAATATTTTTATGAAAATCTATTCAAGTTCATAAGTTCTTTAAGATCTCTAACAATTTTTTATATCGATTTGTTTCAATGCGATTTTCAAGCAAATTGATTCAATAGAAAGGAAAATCGAAAAGCAAAACTTTTGTAATAATGTCATTCAACTTGAACAAATCTCGATTTACAACACATATTTAGTTGTACTCGTAAATAGATTTTGCCCTCGACTTTGGGCGTTATAATGGGTTTTAAGCCGATTTAAACCGGCTTTAACAAAGCGCCGGGTTACGACCCGGGTGCTTGCTCTTCTCTGAATGTACGTAATTTATGAGTTAAAGTCATAGGTGCAGCGGCCCCTGTGGCAACCATTTTCCCACTGCTAGGTAATTTTATTTTATTGTTCAAGCGAACTTTGAACATTCCACTCAACAGTTCCACGGTAGACGAATGACAATGAGATCAATCAATATTGTCATCAATTGCACAATATTGTAGGAACTCTAAAATCACAATTAATTTTGAATGTTTTTTTCATGACGTTCTACGTAGGTACTATCTCAATTCTTATAAAATAAAAAAGGAAAACAAAATAAAAAAACTTATAACTTTTTTACGAGCAGGTAGTACGATAACCTACTCATTATCAGTAGCAATGGTTTGACATTATCAAAATCTTCATCTTCTGTTTCCGCTTCCTCTACAAGCCGTTCTGATTCGTCGTAACTCATGTTGTGTCTACAACAAATAGTAAAATAATAAATAATTTAATTATTATAATTTAATTATTTAATTATTATAATTAAATTATTAATGTAAAGGAGGGAGGTTCTTTTGTCCGTTGGATGAGGTTACCAAAACAAGCCAAGTGGTTCAGAAGATTTTTAATTTCACCTTGTATGTCGCCAATAAAATTTCATCCTATATGCGGAAGGTCCGGGCAGTTGTTCCCAGAAGGGACTCGACTCCTGGAAACCATTCCGCGAGATGAGGTTTATTTATCGCAATAATCTTTCACCCTATATGAGCGTACGAAATACCAGAAGATCCGGGTAGCAGTTCCCAAGAAGGGACTCAAATTCAAATTCTAATTCTAATTCTAATTCTAATTAAAATTCAAATTCAAAAACTCCTGGTTGTCTTACTGAGCTCTCTGTTTTCTCAGATTTCTCTTCACATTAACAATATTATGTTTAATTTACATTCGAGGGAAAATCTTAACACCGCGATTCAGAAATAACGCCAAATGGGGGCCAGTGCCATCTAGCGGATTCTTAGAGAACTAAAAGTTCACACACACACACAACAATCTGTCTTAAGGTATTCTGTTGTATAAAGCAGGTTTGTTACATTAATTATTATTAATTAACTTATATAATATATTTTTATAATTTATATAAGTATATAAATAATATATAATTATTATTAATTAATAATATTAATAATATTAATAATTTGATATTAATAATTAAATCTAATATTACACAAAATATTGTACTTTTGTAAGTAATATAGTACAAATAACATAAAGTACTCACCCAGGTTTCAATTTTATTTCATGAATTTTTCCGGAACACGATCGGTCGCGCGCGGAATCTGAGACCGCAAACACAAATAAAAACACATGTGCGCTTGCAACGTATGTCACAGGGCTACTAAGGGGAAGTACCTCACCCCCTCGAGGATATCACGGTCGCGCAACCTTTTATTGTTTGTAGTTTTTGTAAAGCCTTTTAAGTAAGCTTCCATCTTATGGGCTTCCCACTGACCTTTAATAATAATAATAATAATAATAACGCACACACTCAACATAGCCCCGCACTAGGGAAACCCTGTGTCGCGGGTGCCATGGACACACACATAGACAACCACAAATTACACCCAAACTCACGAGAGAAATAAATATAGGCCATACAAATATTTCTCCCGGCCCGGGAATCGAACCCGGGGACCTCTGCGTGGCAGTCCGGTATGGTAGCCGTTCGGCCACGGAGGCAGTTATTATAGGCAGTACCTTTGCAATTGGATCTCGGATTTCTTGAGTGAACGTTCGATTCAAGTGGTCTTAGAAGGCTACTCTTCCGAATATATGGCGATAGATTCCGGAGTTCCTCAGGGTTCCGTAATGTCTGCAACTCTCTTTCTGCTGCATATCAATGATATATTAATTCCAGGTACCTTTGCGTATGCTGATGATAGCACAGTTGTAGATAGGTACTTGACCAATGCAAGGGACAGTGGAGAGGAAATACAGTCTTGTCTAGAGTCCATGGTTAGCCGTTTGGATTTGACACTCCAGTCAGTCTCCGATTGGGGCG